GGGGGGGGGGGGGGGGGGGGGGGGGGGGTTGCTTGGGCGATTGAAGAACTCACTGTAAATGTTATTTATTTATTTTTTTTTTACAGACTGGGTTTCCCTTTGGGTCTTTTGTTTTATCTTGAATTTCAATTCCAACTGCCTCTGGTATGCATTTATGGCATTTCGAGAGAGAGAGAGAGAGAGAGGGTGAGGGTGAAATTCAAGGACCAGACTGGCCTCAGTAATTGCTTATTTAATTCTTCTGATCTATAAATTCCACCCCAAAGTTCATTTTTTCTTCATCACAAACTGATGTTTTCTCTACCATTTTAGCATATCCTTCCAAATTTATCACAATCCTGAAAAAAAGTCCATCAAACCAATAAAAACCCACAATTGTTTATGCAAAAATCAGTAAAGAGTTTCAAGTTTTTGAGTTTGATTCATTGGATTTGTTAGTATTTTTTGTTGTTCCTTGAGAGATGGATCTATATGTAGCATTGCTGTGTTTCACTGCTGTCACTTGTTATCTACTATGGTTTACCTTCATTTCCAAGTCATTGAAAGGCCCACGTGTTTGGCCCGTGTTGGGCAGCTTGCCAGGCCTTATCGAGAACTCCGACCAGATGCACGAGTGGATAGCCGATAACCTCCGCGCATGCAGAGGCACGTACCAGACATGTATATGCGCAATACCCTTATTGGCCCGGAAGCAAGGCCTTGTGACCGTCACTTGCGATCCTAAGAATTTAGAGCACATTTTGAAAACCCGGTTTGATAATTATCCGAAAGGTCCAACTTGGCAAGCTGTTTTTCATGATTTACTAGGCCAGGGGATTTTCAATTCGGATGGCGAGACATGGCTTGTTCAAAGAAAGACGGCAGCCCTTGAGTTTACCACGCGGACCTTACGTCAAGCTATGGGTCGGTGGGTGAACCACGCCATCAAGAATCGGTTTTGTCGGATTCTCGAGACAGCTCAACTTGAAGCCAAGCCGGTTGATTTGCAAGATCTATTGCTTCGGCTCACTTTTGATAACATATGTGGCTTGGCTTTTGGGAAGGATCCGGAAACTCTTGCGCTAGAGATGCCAGATAATAGCTTTGCCTCGGCATTTGACCGAGCCACAGAGGCATCGCTGCAGCGCTTCATTTTTCCTGAAGTTATATGGAAACTGAAGAAATGGCTTCGGCTCGGAATGGAAGTCAGCTTGAGCCAAAGTCTCGTTCACGTGGACGAGTATTTGTCCGACATCATCAAGACACGTAAGCTCGAGCTGATGCATAAGCAAAAAGACGCTAATGCACATGATGACTTGCTATCAAGATTCATGAAGAAAAAAGAATCCTACTCGGACAAATTCTTGCAACATGTGGCACTCAATTTCATCCTAGCTGGACGCGACACGTCATCGGTTGCACTGACCTGGTTCTTCTGGTTGGTCATGCAAAACCCAAGAGTTGAAGAGAAAATTATATTCGAAATATGCACCGTTCTGAGTGAGACACGTGGAATCAACATGGATTCTTGGGTTGACGAGCCTTTAGTGTATGAAGAAGTTGACCGTTTGGTATACCTAAAAGCAGCATTATCCGAAACACTCCGATTGTACCCTTCGGTACCCGAGGACTCCAAGCATGTAGTGGCAGATGACACGTTGCCAGATGGTACGTTCGTCCCGACTGGGTCATCGGTTACATATTCGATATATTCGGCTGGGCGAATGAAGTCCACTTGGGGTGAGGACTGCCTAGAGTTCAAGCCAGAAAGATGGTTATCCCCTGATGGCAAGAAGTTCACTATGCATGACTCTTACAAGTTTGTCTCCTTCAATGCTGGTCCAAGAATATGTTTAGGAAAGGACTTGGCTTACTTACAAATGAAGTCCATAGCAGCAGCTGTGCTTCTCCGCCACCGGCTGACAGTGGTGGCAGGCCACAAGGTGGAGCAAAAGATGTCATTGACATTATTCATGAAGTATGGCCTCAAAGTGAATGTGCATCCAAGGGATTTAACGTCAATAGCATCAAGTATTATGAAAGAAGCAGTTGTCACTAATAATGAAAAATGTCATACAGGTGGCGACACCGTTGGCATTGACCGTGGGATTGGTGTTGATATGGTGGTTGGAGTAATCTAAAGTGGTGGTTGATGTATTTCTACTTTCTGACATGGAAATTTATGGGGCGGAAAGGTCACATGGATTCTTGATGGATCTTCAATAATTTAAGCTACTTACTCATGGGTTGGAGGTACAATCATTCAATGCGACGAATGAGAAGGTGAGAAATGTCGAAAACAAGAGTGGTTTTTTAATGCCGCCTCCTTCTTTTTCTTTTTTTTTTTTCTTTTTTCTTTTTGATGGAGTCAATACCTCTAGTTTTCCTTTTGTCACATATTCTTTTCAGAAATTCTTGTTTGTTATATTTTACCTTCTGATGATATATGAATTCTTTATATTTCTTATTTATTAGTGCTTAATTTAAATTATTTGTGCCTTAATTCGCTACGACATTTTAGTGTAGAAAAGAAATCGCTTAGGACACTGTGTCTATCCAACTCGCTCCAAAGGAACTTGCCAAGCAAACATAGCTGTTATAAAAACTAATATGTTGCTATGAGACTAATTAAATCTACATATAACGTTCGATAGAAAGAGTAAATATGACTAACATATCTTGATGAATTATTGTTGCTATGGCTCTTCTTACATTAAAATCAAAATTTTAGTAGATTTTAATAAAAGTTAATGAAATATATGATTGAAAAGTTATAAATCTTATAAAATGTGTTATTAAAATTAATTATTAACTTTAATTTAAATTAAAATCTGAATTACCTTATCAAATAGAGATTAATAGGGGTTTAATCTCTATTTGATTTAGCTAAAAATTTAAGTCAAAATCAATTATTAATTTTAATTACATTTCATGGGACCTAGAATCAAGGGCGGATGTAGGGAGGACTGTGCCAAGCTACAGCTCGATCCAATCCCCCAGCCCATTTCAAAATTTTTTTTTTTTTTTATTCGATCCCAAGTCTGCCCCCAACTAACTTTAATCATCACCACACTATTCAATCAATTTTTTTCTTTTGTTAAAATCTACTAAAATCTCATTTTTAACTAAACCAAACAGGGGCTAAATCTTCATCTGATGATGGAGAAGCAGAAATTATTCATACAAATGTTTATTATTATTTTATTAACTAGTCACATCTTATAAGCAGAATGTATTTATGATTTGTAATAATACTGAAGTACTACTTGCAACTACATAATTGTTTGGCAGCTACTAATAGTATCGCCTACTGAAAATTGTAATTTTACTAGCATTACCTATTTATTTTTTTCTATTGTTGAAGGGCAGCACTCCAGAATCTATTAATTGGCATTGACAATAAGGCACTGAGATTTTCCATAGAAAATGGAAAACAAACTCCACTTCCCTCCAATTTGTGTTTGAAAGGGTAAAAATTGCCAAGAAAATTTTTTCCCCCCACCCCACTTGTAGCACCCCGAAAATTTTAGAATAAAATTTTGTATTCAATTTTATGATTTTGAAAGTTGAAGACCTAAAATAAAGTATGTTTTAAAATTCTTCTGTTTTTAAATGGATTAAATATTTAACTTTTTATAGAGTGACCAAAAGTATATCAACTTTGGGCTCATTTTGTAGCCCTCATTAAATAGTGTTTATTGAGCTCAAGAAAATGTAAGTTCAGATGAATTAAGCCCAAGATATTTCAATTCAAAGAAGCATGATTTATATGTATTATTTTATTACTTAATAATGGTCCTTTTAGGATAATTAGCAAAATAGTATAATATTTAATTAGATAATCACGTTTATTTTCATAAAGGAATTAACCATTCTTTATTCTATTTCAGTTTGCAC